GTGGACAGACGGACGCCAGGGGTGTCCTCGGAGCTCTCTGTGGACATTGGCTTCAGGAAGACACGGACAGTCCACGTGCACCCCGTGAAAAAACAGTATTTCCTGGCTGCTGGGTCCGTGTACGTAGCCCAGACTGAACTGGCTGTTTTTTTGGTGGGCTCTGGGCTGGGGAGAGCTGGGGCTGAGGAGATTCTCAGCCTTGATTTACAGTCAGAGCTGTCTCGGTCCTTTTAGAAAACAAGTTTCCAGTCCTTAGCAGGGTTTGAGGTGGGATTTGGTTTGATTTCCCAGATCAAATGGGAACAAATGGGCCCTGCTGGGCTTTGTATGGAGGGCTGGTTGGGGTGGTTTTGTTCTCCCAAAATCCCTCAGAGCCACCATTTGAGTGGCTATTGAAGCTCTGAACCAGCTCCCACACAGCCTGCCGTGCTCTGGAGCTCTTCTGGTGAACGAAGGATAATTACTGAAGTGTTTGTGGTACCTGTTGCAGGGATGTTTGTATTTTTGATGTTCGGTACCTTCGGAACGCCAAGGAGAACAAGCCCCTGAGCACTCTGACAGGACACACCAGAAGTGTGGCCTCAGCCTATTTCTCACCTGTCACTGGCAGCAGGGTGGTGACAGTGTGTGCTGATGACCACCTGAGGTAAGGCTGTGGAAGGAAGAATCCTCATGGAAAATACCAGCTGTTTGGGTGGGTTATTACTATTATTGCTATTATTATTATTATTATTTTCCACATGACCCATCATCAAGCACCTTCTGTCTTTATCACTTTTAAAAAATTAAAAATATTTACTTGCATTAATATTTTTTATGTAGTTCTTGATGATCTTTTGGTTTGGTTGGTTTTTTCCCAATTCTCATTTTCCCTTAGGATATTTAAAAGAAAAATACACAGGTACTGTTAATCTTTAAAAAACAAACAAAATCAAACCCCACAAAAACAGCCAGCCAAAACCTGGCTGGTGAACACAAACACAAAATGCTCAGAAACTAAATTTGTTTGTAGCTGGTACTTGAAATAATGATGATATCAGCTCTTCTGTAAACAGCCTACCATTTCATCATTTGAGCTGCTGTGAGTTGCTTGTGTTAGAGGTTCTTTTTCTCCTGGTTCCTTTGTGACCGAATTTAGATGATTACCTGATTTTGTGGTGGCTGGGCAGTTTTTGCCCCGAGGGGGGAGCCCAGGTTCGTGGGGGTGGAGGAGCAGGTGGGGTGCTGGGCTGGCCGTGGGGCTCTGCAGCCCCTCCAGAGCTGCCAGCCAGGGTGGGCTGCAGTTCCAGCTGAAGGCAATTCCAGTTCCCTGGGCACGTGCAGTGCTTCCAGCTGGCTGCTGGAAGTGGCTGGGTGTCTGTGCACACTCCAGGGCTGGTGCTCTGTGTGAGGCAAGGGCTGGCTTTTTAGCACAGGTTCTTGGTGTTAATGTGTTCTTCTGTGCCCAGGGTCTACGACACCACGTCCGTGTCATCCACTGTCACATTGCTCAGCTCCATCAGGTGAGGACAGCACGCCTGGGCCCGGGCAGCGCCGAGGCTGCTCCTGTGCGTCTGGAGGGACAGGACACAGGGAATGGCTCCCACTGCCAACGGCAGGGATGGATGGGATTTTGGGAAGGAATCGCTCCCTCTGAGGGTGGTGAGGCTCCGACACAGGGTGCCAGAGCAGCTGTGGCTGCCCCTGGATCCCTGGCAGTGCCCAGGGCCAGGCTGGGGCTTGGAGCAGCCTGGCATAGAGGAAGGTGTCCCTGCCATGGCACGGGTGGCACTGGGTTATCTCTAAGGTCTCTCCCAGCCCAAACCATTGTGGTATTCTTGTCCCATCCTGCCCATCCCAGGACAGGGATCCACTGCAGGGATCTGAGCACTGCAGCATGAGTGCTGAAGGTTTAGAAGGCAAGGGAGCAGATGGGACATAAATGATGATTTTAAAGGCTGGATTCACAAGGAAGAACGTTCCTCTTCCCCTGCAGCCACAACAACAACACGGGCCGCTGGCTGAGCCGCTTCAGGGCCATCTGGGACCCCAAGCAGGAGCACTGCTTCCTGGTGGGCAGCTTGGCACAGCCCAGGCAGATCGAGGTCTTCCAGGACACAGGGAAGTTGCTGCACTCCTTCTGCAACGTGGACTGCCTCAACTCCGTGTGCTCCATCAACGTCGTCCACCCCAGCCAGAACATCCTGGTGGGAGGCAACTCCAGTGGCCGCCTCCACGTGTTCAAATAGAAGTGTCCTAGATCTTTATGTTTTACCTTCCTGCACTGACTTTGTTTATTCTGTATTAAGCAGTTCCGAAGCTGACTGTTGTTTCTCAGGACAGAAATGTACTTTGAAAGTCTTAAAATAAATAGTTTAAACTGCCTTTGGCACCCATGTCTTCCATGGAAATAAAAGTGATCCTTGAGCCCCCAGCTCCCTCAGCCACTCCTGGGGCTCCAGCCCCTCAGTGCCTTCCTTGTGAGGGGGCCAAAACTCCCGGGTGCATTTGTAAAATTGTGCTCCTGGAGTACAGAGACATGCGAGGGACTCACCTGCAGCTCTGGAACTCTCACTCCAGTGAGAAGCTGCTAAAAGACCAAATTTCTCACAGTTTGAGCTGTTCTCACAAGAAAAATCAGAATCACTGAACAAAGCTCATCCCAACTCTGCTTTTCATGATATTTAAATATTTATTTAAATTTAAAAATACTTTTCATGGCACCAATGATTTTATGCTAACTAAGGTATTGGATATGTAGAAAAAGGTACATTTTGAAGGAAAAAAAGATGTAACTTACAGTATTTGGCACATGAAAGGTTAATCTCTAGGTTTTCTTTATGAAAACTAAGAAATTCACATTTTCAGGTATTTTACCGTCTACTGCTGAAAGATGCAGTATGCTAGGACGAGATTCATGGGTTTCTGATCTCAGAACCTACGGAAACAACATTTTGATAGAAAGACTGGTAAAACTAACAGGGCCTGAAACACACGACAGGACCTGGGAGCGACGGGAGAAACGTACAACGGAAAATCACCGATTCTCGTGGTTCTGCAGTAAAACGCTGGGGGACAGCGGCAGAGGTGACCTGGGGCTGGCACAGAGCGTTACCCGAGGAAAGCCAAGGTGCAAGGGCCCAGCTGGGGGCTCGGAGGACGTGTCCGAGAAGGATGGAGCACGTGGCAGTGCCTTCCTTGTGAGGGGGCCAAAACTCCCGGGTGCATTTGTAAAATTGTGCTCCTGGAGTACAGAGACATGCGAGGGACTCACCTGCAGCTCTGGAACTCTCACTCCAGTGAGAAGCTGCTAAAAGACCAAATTTCTCACAGTTTGAGCTGTTCTCACAAGAAAAATCAGAATCACTGAACAAAGCTCATCCCAACTCTGCTTTTCATGATATTTAAATATTTATTTAAATTTAAAAATACTTTTCATGGCACCAATGATTTTATGCTAACTAAGGTATTGGATATGTAGAAAAAGGTACATTTTGAAGGAAAAAAAGATGTAACTTACAGTATTTGGCACATGAAAGGTTAATCTCTAGGTTTTCTTTATGAAAACTAAGAAATTCACATTTTCAGGTATTTTACCGAAATATCTGCTGAAAGATGCAGTATGCTAGGACGAGATTCATGGGTTTCTGATCTCAGAACCTACGGAAACAACATTTTGATAGAAAGACTGGTAAAACTAACAGGGCCTGAAACACACGACAGGACCTGGGAGCGACGGGAGAAACGTACAACGGAAAATCACCGATTCTCGTGGTTCTGCAGTAAAACGCTGGGGGACAGCGGCAGAGGTGACCTGGGGCTGGCACAGAGCGTTACCCGAGGAAAGCCAAGGTGCAAGGGCCCAGCTGGGGGCTCGGAGGACGTGTCCGAGAAGGATGGAGCACGTGGGATGGAGCTGTGCTGTCACACGTCACACAGAACATTGCAGTGAGGAGAGGAGGAGGAGGAGGAGGAGGAGGAGGAAGGACTTCACTGCAGCGTTAACCCGGGGTAAAAAATGTCAGCGTCGGGACGAGCACAACTGCATAGAAACATCAGCGCTATGGGCTGAGGTAGGAACACTACACTAAGAGTTAATTCTGCTATGTTGCATAAAACAGGATTATCATGTAAAAAAATCGCTCCTCCGCCTCCTGGAGCCTTCCCCGGGGCTCCTGGAGCCTTCCCCGGGGCTCCTGGAGCCTTCCCTGGGGCTCCTGGAGCCTTCCCCGGGGCTCCTGCGTGCTCTGGGGCCGGGGCTGGACCCAGCCCTCCTCGGGCCTCGTGCTGTGAGCGGGCTGTGACCCGGGCAGGGGGACTGTGCCCCGACGGGACCTCTCCCCTTATTGCAGTGACAAGGAGCCCGTGTGCCCCAACGTCACCGTCCCGGCGGTGGGTGCTGGATGCCCAAACACAACACAGACATCAGGCTTTGTAAAACTGCAGTTATGGCCCCAGCTTACAGAAAAATCTCTCCCTGAGATGAAATTAGACTTGCTCAGCTGTTTTCACCCTTCTGGTTTGGTTTTTTTTTTTTTTTTTTTTTTTTTTTTTTTTTTTTTCTTTTTTTTTTTTTTTTTTTTTGACGTGTCCAACTTGTCACCCCAACCTAACCAGAACTGGCTGTTATTGCTGCCTGTGGATGGGCTGCTGCTGCTCCTGACCAACAGTCTGGGGATCATCACCGGCACGATGAGTTGGGTTTGACTTGCACTCAACAACGGTGTCCGCTGGCTTCTTCAGTGTCACCTGCGCTTCCAAACTTGTGTTGTCTTGGGAGGAGTCCCAAAAGCAGAGCTCCTTCTCTGTCCCAAGCCCAGCAGGGCTCAGCTGGCCTCGGGCTCCCGGCGTTTACTCTGAAACCTTTGCTCACTGGGAACTGCTCGGTAGCAGCACCCATGGTCACCCCATCCGTAAAGTAAAAAAAGACTGGATTAGATTTGATAACAAAATAGCATTTCCTTGTTAAAATAGACCTTGAAATGTCTCTCTTTTGTTTTTCTTTCTTTTTTTTTTTTTTGGTTCTTTTTGCTTGGTTTTTTTTACAAAACAGGTACAACTGGCGGAGGGTAAAGGTCATCCCAATAAATCTGACACAGTCACTACAGCTCCACGCCAGGTTTGGCCGCGCGTGCCCGGCGTCCCCTGGCTTCCATGCTCCCCTGCCCTCGGGAGCACCGATGCTTCAAGGCTTAAAAAAGTGGCGAAGGGCCGAGTCCGCAGCAGGGCGAGGGCTCCGGATGGCTGCGCTGCGGGGAGGAGGGCACCGGGGCGTCCCCGGAGCCCGGCGGCTGTGTCACCTCCTAGGAGGCTCCGGTGAGCAGGGAGGGCTCTGCCAAGCGCTTCGTGGAGGGCGGGGGTGGCGGGCACAGTGCGGATTGAGTACCGTAACAGTACACGAGTGTTAAATGAAACCTCAGTAGCACCATTGCTAAAGCTCCTGCCGAACGGCCCCGCCAGCCCCGGCCGGGGTGGCAGAGCAAAGAATTCCCCTCTGCTCGGTGCTTCCCAAGTCGTGCGGGGGGATCGGGGCGGGAGGTGTTGTGCGGGCTCCGGGGGTGGGAGCACGGGGAGGAGGGGGCTCCGGGGGCTGCGCCCACCCTCCTCTTCCTCCCGGAAAGCCGCCTCCTCGGCCGGCCGGGCTCGGGGTCGGGAGGGGAGGGTTAGTGAGTGACGGCGGCAGGTCCAGGCCCCCGTGGTGGCTCCTGCCTTCAGGTGTCAATGAGCAGGTTTACCACGGCGCGGAGCTTGCAGGCAAACCATCGCCTGAGGGGACAAAAGTATTGGTAATGGAACTGCTCGAACTCTGGGGTCTGGCGGATATCACGGAAAAAGGCAGTGTCAAGGTCGGACTCGGTAAGGACGATCAGGAGGAGGAGCAAAACAAAGAGGAGTCCAACTGTCACAAGGAGCAAACGGAGGACACTTAAAAGAAACTTATTCACCTGTTGGGCCTGTGCCGGCCCCAGGCCGCCGGCGCCCGGGCACAGCGCCCGCAGCTCGCCCTCCGCCTCTGCCGCCGGCGTGCCCGCCTCCGACTCCTTCTCCTCCTCGATGCTGCACGGGGCCCCGTTGGCCTGGCGCGACAGCAGCATCAGCTCCAGGCTGTGCTCGGCCACGGGCGTGGGCAGCACGCTGTCCGCGGGGCTGTAGCTCTCGTCGGCGATCACGGCCACCCGCTCGCTGCTCTCGGCGCGGCCGCTCCGCCCGGGGCCCGCGAAGGCGTCGCCGTGGGAAGCCGAGCGCACCGGGGTCGAGTGGGCGCTGTCACGGAGGGACTCCAGGCCTGGGGAGACAGGGCAGGGGGCGCTCAGGGGGTGCGGTGGGTTCCTCTCCGCAGCCGGGAGCTGCCCGCGCCGCCCCACACCCGTGCCCCCCGCGGGACGGAGCGTGGCGGCTGCCCTGGGCTGCTGCTTCTTGTTGCTGTTATTGTTGGTCCTTCGGGACCTGCAGCCCCTTCAACGCCACCTGTCACTGCGGCGGTGACACCTCAACACCCGCCTGGCTTGTCACCGGCACCGCCAGCCGCTGGCTGCCAGCCGGGACCGCGGCAGGGTCCGGGCTGTTCCGCAGGTGATCACACGCACCCGCGGGCTGTAGCTGCCCTGAGGTGACAGTGACAGCCCCCCTGGCAGCTGCCCGCAGTGCTTGGGGCCCCTCTGCTGCTGGCAGCGCCAGCCGTGGCACTGCAGCACCAGGGGCACCTGCCCGGGACAGGGTGACACCGACAGGAACGGGCTGGGGGCACGGCCATCGCAGGGATGGGGGCAGTGATGAGAACCCCGGGTGGAGGTGCATGAGCAGAGGGTCGTGCTGGGCTGGTGGGAGTGGGGGTCACTCAGCACACAGGGGAGATGTCCCCATCACATGCAGGAACCCCTGCAGCACAGGCTGCTCTGAGTTCACCACAAACCAAATGTTTTATGTCGCTCACACCCAAGCAGGAGCCGTGGCAGGAGCTCTGTGCCAGCCCCTGTGCCAGCTCCCAGCCCCGTACCAGGCTGAGCTTTGGTCCTTTGTGCCAAGCAACTCCTGCCCCTACCATCATCTCCTCTAAATCCCCAAATTCCAAGAAACCACACACATAAGGGGCTTGTTTCAGGTAGTTCTGGCAGGCAGGGGGGGATAGGAACTCTGCTGTTGCAGTGGCCCCAGCTCCAGGGAGGGTGTCTGAAGGTCACGGTGGGGACCAGCTGGTCTCCAGGGCCACCCTGTAGGCGGCTGGAGAGGGACAGGGAATCTGTCCCCGGGGGAAGAGCACAGTGCACTAAAGCACCTCGACACGCTGTCACCATGTCCTGGCTGCCGGAGGGTGACGGGCAGCACCCGGAGCTCATCCGGCCGCATTCCCGGGGATTTGCAGCTTCTCCTTTGTGTGCGCTGCCCGGATGAGCGCCACAGCCACGCCGGGCTCCCGGGCAGTGAGGAGGGAACACGCTCTCACCCTGCCAGCTCTGCGCTCTCCCCTCTCATGGGAGTGCTCCCCACGGCGCCCACTGTGTCCCCGACAGGGGGGACAGCCCCTGGGGGGGTGCCACCGCTCATCACCACAGTGACAGCAGTGCTGGCCCCCAGACCCAAACCCTCCTGCCCTCTGCTCCCACAGGACTGGCAGCAAAAGCTGGAAAATCCTGGAAATCCGAGTCCAGCCCCACCACCGGAGCTGCTCTGTGGAAACAACAGCCTGGAGTCCAGCCAGCCTGGGAGACCCCAGCCCTCTCCCTGCCGCATACCCTGTACCCCCCATTCCTGCCCCCACCTGCTCACCAGCTGACTACAGGAACCAAGTCCGTGGGAACCCCGCGCACGCTGCAGGAGATCCCAGAGCCCGCGGCGCAGCGTTACCTGGCTCCGGCGGGTCCCCAGGGCCGTGGGGAGCAGGGTGCCCGAGGCTGGGGGCGGCCGGGAGCAGCGGCAGAATGCCCAGGGCCCGGGAGAGCAGCCGCGGCCCCAGGGCCAGCACCCGGACCCGCACGCCCCGGCAGCAGTGGTTGATGAGCCACAGGTGCACGCTGACCCTGGTTTTAATCTTTACCAGGCACTTCACCATGGTGGCCCGTGGCACGGGGACACGCGGAGTGCGGGGACAGCTCTGAGAGCGGCACTGCTGCCGGCCCTGGGCTCGGCACTATTTTGGGCAGCCGCATTCCCACGGGACCGAGCTGAAGTGCGAGTGAGGAAAAGCAAAGGGGTGGTACCAGCTCGGGGTGATTTATGGTGGGAGGTGATTTAACGCACTGGCTGCTTCCCAGCGGCATCTGGGGGACAGACTGTCACATGGAACTGCGTGGCAGAGGTGACCCTGTCTGCTTCCATCCCCAAAACTGGCACAGCCACCAGCCCTGGGATCCCTTGGTGGAATGAAATCCTTTCCGGGGGGCAGACAGTCGCTGTCCCTGCCTGCATTCCGGGACCAGGACCAGGATCGGGGCGGCTGTGCTGGGGAGGGCTGGCCCCATCCAGGGGCAGGGAACAGCCATGTCACTGGGAGTCAGACACTGCTGTCACCAGCAGGTAACACAGCCACCGCCGGCAGCACAGACACACCCCCAGCAGGTCCCCAGCCCTGTGGGGCACCTCCACAGCTGCTCCCAGCGCTCTGCCTTTTGCCAGACCTTCCTCCCAGTGCATCCTACTGTGACACAGCCCCAGGATCAGGAGCAGCAGCCTCCCTGCTCCAGCCTGGTGGAACACCAGCTTTGCTGACAACAAGCCACCAGGGCTGTGGCCTCAGCTGGACACTGTGCACATGTGTGTGTGCACGTGTGTGTGTCTGTGTGCATGTGTGTGTACATGCATCAGTGTACCTGTGTCCGTGTGCTCTGTCCGTGGGCCCTGTGTGTCCCTGTGTGTGTGTCCCTATGTGTGTCCCTGTGTTCATGTGCACACCTGTGTCCGTGTGCCCCGTCCGTGTGTCCCTGTGTGTGTGTCCCTGTGTCCGTGTGCACACCTGTGTACCAGGATTTCAGGATTTACCTGCACCAGGATTTACCTGCACCAGGATTTATCTCTCCAGGATTTACCTGTGCCAGGATTTACCTGCGCCAGGATTTACCTGCGCCAGGATTTCAGGATTTACCTGTGCCAGGATTTACCTGTCCAGGATTTACCTGTAGCGGAAGCGGCTTCCCTTGAAGAACAGGTTGCTGCTGGACACCGTCCGCACCTGGCTCGACTTCTCCAACCTGCAAGAGCCCAGGGCACTGTGAGCGCCCTGCCGAGCACTGCCAGCACGGGCAGCCAGGCCGGGAGACAGGAGCAGAGCCCCGGGGGTGTGACCTGCTGCTGCTGCAGGTGCCCCTGGCCGGCAGGACACGGCCCCTGCATGCACACAGCCCGGCCCTGCCAGCAGCCAGGAGGGACCCAGGGCAAGGGCACTGCAGGGGCTGGGGCACAGCTCCTGCCAGGGCCAGCAGGGACACCCCGAGCAGGGACTGGCACTGTCTGGGCAGCAGTGACACCCTGCACAGGGACTGGCACTAGTGCATCCTACTGTGACACAGCCCCAGGATCAGGAGCAGCAGCCTCCCTGCTCCAGCCTGGTGGAACACCAGCTTTGCTGACAACAAGCCACCAGGGCTGTGGCCTCAGCTGGACACTGTGCACATGTGTGTGTGCACGTGTGTGTGTCTGTGTGCATGTGTGTGTACATGCATCAGTGTACCTGTGTCCGTGTGCTCTGTCCGTGGGCCCTGTGTGTCCCTGTGTGTGTGTCCCTATGTGTTCCCTGTGTCTGTGTGCACACCTGTGTCCGTGTGTCCCTGTGTGTGTGTCCCTGTGTGTCCCTGTGTCCGTGTGCACACCTGTGTCTGTGTGCCCTGTCCGTGTGTCCCTGTGTGTGCAGGTGCCCAGGTGTGCGTGTTCCCGTGCCCCAGCGTGTGGGGCAGGGCTGCCCCGTGTCCTACCTTCCATGATGGAGATGTGGACGGCTCTCCGCCGGGTGCGGGGCACGCTGCTCAGCCGGGGGCCGTGCGTGATGGAGGGGCAGCTGCGGCTGGGCACCAGCCCGGCCCTGGGGACAGGAGCAGGGACAGGATCAGGGCCAGGACAGAGCCAGCGCTGCGGGCACACGGCAGTGCCCTGGGCACACGGCAGTGCCCCTGCCATGCTCCCACCTCAGGCACACTCCCACCCAGGCACACGGCACTGCCCTGGGCACACAGCAGTGCCCTGACCCTGGGCACTCTCCCACCCTGGGCACATGGCACTGCCCTGACCATACTCCCACCCAGGCACACGGCACTGCCCTGACCATACTCCCACACAGGCACACAGCAGTGCCCCCGGCACACAGCAGTGCCCCTGCCGTGCTCCCACCTCAGGCACGCTCCCACCTCTGGCACACTCCCACCCCGGGCACACGGCACTGCCCTGGGAACACTCCCACCCAGGCACATGCCAGTGCCCTGGGCACACTCCCACCTCTGGCACACTCTGCTCCCACCCAGGCACATGGCACTGCCCTGGGCACACAGCAGTGCCCCTGCCATGCTCCCACCTCAGGCACGCTCCCACCTCTGGCACACTCCCACCCAGGCACACGGCAGTGCCCTGGGAACACTCCCACCCAGGCACATGCCAGTGCCCTGGGCACACTCCCACCTCTGGCACACTCCCACCCTGGGCACACACAGCAGTGCCCTGGGCACGCTCCCACCCTGGGCACACACAGCAGTGCCCTGGGCACGCTCCCACCCCGCTCTCCCGCCCCTGGGAGCTGCTGCCAGGCTCTCACCGGTGAATCTCGGGGGGCTCCCTCTTGATCTTGGCGCTGGACTCCATCACCTCCTTGGCGACGCGGCCGCTGCAGGTGGGTCAAGAGCAGCAGAGGTGAGGACAAGAGCACGGCCCTGGCAGCCAGGTGGGCACCCCGTGCACAGCCTGGGCCCCTCCCCACACAGCTCCAGGAATGTTTTCTCCAGGGGAATGGGGCTGATGGAGAAGGCTGCGCTGACACCTCTGCCACCATATTTTGCTGCTGCTTCTTGTGGCATGGGATGCTGGACACCAGGGGTGACCTCCCCTCAGCTGAGGTGGACACAACACGGCCATCCAGGTCCTGCCATGCCAGCAAGGAGGGTGCCAGCACTGTGTACCTCAGAGGGGGGACACCCTGGGGTGCCCCATCCTGGAGACACCAGGTCCCCAGTCCAGGCTCTCACTCCAGCAGCTCAGCACAGGAATTTAGGGACAGTGGTGGTTTGTTTCACACCTCGTTGTTCTCAAATCCCAGATTTCCCATCCTCCACTCTTGTCCCTCCACACTCTCTGCTGTGAGGACAGGGGTGGCCTCTGTGACACAGGGACAGTGGTGGAGGTGGCCTGGTGGGGTCAGTGCTGCAATGGGGGGTCTCTGGAAGACCCTGAGGCATCCTTGGGCCGCTGCAGCCCCAAGATGCTGCCCAAGGAGCACACAGTAGCACACCCAGCAGCTGCTCCTGTCCAGGATTTACCTGTGCCAGGATTTACCTCTCCAGGATTTACCTGCGCCAGGATTTACCTGCGCCAGGATCTGAAAGGCTGCCCTGGCCTGGGAGCTGCAGGGTGACAGACCCAGCCCCTCGTGGGCAGGTGGGCTCTCACAGGGTGGGTGCAGCTGCCCAGAGGGACCCTCCCATCTCCTGCCCACCCCACAGGAGCTGGTCCCCCCCCCGGGGGTGCCCGGCAGCCCCTCAGGCCAGCCCACGGCGCAGGACCCAGCGGCGATTCGCTGCCACAGTTAATCACAGGGAGATTTGTAAAGCACTATGGCAATTTCATTTCGTGTTCACGTAATGAGGAGTGAAACCTGCTGATTGCAGCTGCTGATTGCAGAATTCCCAGTGGGAACGCATCGCATGCTCTGTCTCGCAGCTTGCTGATTGAAATAAAACTCATTACGGAGCACGGAGTGGCCTGGGTCAATATGGCATGAACAGGATGGTGCTGCTCGGCATTCCAGGCTTCATCCCAAATAATTAGTTGTAATTTCCTGACGGGAGTTTGCTGAGGAGGGATGAGCACAGAGGGGCTGGGAGAGGAGGGACCCTGCAGGGCAGAGACCCCACCCAGGGCAGGGGTGCTTTTGGTGGCTGCTGGCTCTGCCAGGGCCACTGGGACAAGTGCCACATGGCCAGTGACCCCTGGGACAAGGTGCCACATGGCCAGTGACCACTGGGACAAGTGCCACATGGCCAGTGACCACTGGGACAAGGTGCCACGTGGCCAGTGACCGACCCCGGTGCCTGGATGGAGCCCGCAGGTGGGCACCCCGCCCCGGGGGCTGCAGGACAGCCCAGAAAGCAGCACGTACTTGTAGAAAGCCTGGTTCTCGATCCCGCACTTCCAGAGGTGTTTGCAGGCTTCTGGTGTCGGGGCAAAATAGGTGAGAACAATTTTCTTCTCCTAAAGGAGAAAGGCAGGGAGTCAGGGGGAGAACAGGCAGGGGTGCTCATCCCACAGACGAAGAGTGGAGCGTGCAGAGCTGGAGAGAGGCACTGGCAGGGACAGATCCTGCTCCGGAGCCGTTTGGGGTCAGCCTGGTGCAGCACCTGCCATGAGGGACGGGCAGATGTGCCCACCCCTCCCGGCCTTTGGGAGCAGCCAGAAAAACAGGGGCTTTCAAAAATTCCTGCTGATGGCTCCTGTGGGAGCCAGCACCAGTCAGAGGAGCTCTGGCTGACTTTGAGGGATGATGGCAATGAAGAAGCACCTCGGGAATAATCCCGAGGGAGGGCATGGCCAGGAGCTCTGGGGGCCCTGGGAGACACCCCGTGTGGCCTGGCTGGGGCTGAGGGGGCTGTGGGGTCCAATGCCCTGGGCTAAGGGGGCTGTGGGGTCCAGTGCCCACATCTGGGCAGCAGCAGGAGCAGGGAGGTGACCCCAGCACTGGCACAGAGCTGCAGCTGCTGTCCCCATGTCCCTGCAGGACCAGGGTGATGCTGCTGCCCATCCCTGGAGGAGCAGGATGCCCAGGATGTCCCACGGGGAGGGGGAGCACTCACCTCCTTCTGACTTACGTACAGATAGAAAGTCTTCCCTTCGAATTTCATCTTGGTCACCTCGTTCCTGGGGGGACAAGGACAGGCAGGTGGCAGCTGTGCCAAGCCAAGCTTCCAGAGCCTGTTTTCCACCGCAGGAGGTGCCAGGGGTGCTGAGAGCAGCCCTGGCTCACAAACCCCTGGCTGGAGCTGGGGGTCAGCAGGGGCTCGTCCCAGGGGAACTGGCAGTGCCAGGAGCCAGGGACACACCAGGCACAGCTGGGTGACCCAGGGACAGCTGAGGAGCTCCCGGGCTGGGGGGGTTTGGGGTGTGGCTGGCACGGGCATGGTGGGGTTCAGTGGGGACAAAGGCAGGGAGCAATGACCGGGGACAGCAGAGCTCTGGGTGCCCCGAGCACTGCCCGGGGCCCACACAGCCCTGGGGATGCCAGGGAGCGAGGGAGCCCCTGGGGGAAACCACACTGGGAGAGAGGGAAACCGCACTGGGAGGGAGGGAAATCAGACTGGGAGGGAGGGAGGGAGGGAGGGAAATCACACTGGGAGGGAGCCCGGCTCACACTGGGATGAGCTCAGCTCACGCTGGGAGTGGACTCACCACTTGATGAAGTGAACTCTCTTGTTCCCCTGCAGGACCACGAAGCCGAAGGGGGTGAAGGCCAGGAAGGCTGCATTGCCAGACACGTCCTGCAAGGCAGCAGCGAGGCTCGTGCCGCTGCTGGACAGCACAGCTGGCACGTCCCTGTCCCCCCAGCCCCAGAGCCGGGCACGGCCCCGCCCCGGGGGCTGGCACTGCCAGCAGGATGCCACAGTGATCTGTTATCTACATTTAATGTCATATCGACGTTCATAGAATTCCTGATGTTAATATAATACCATGTTATAATTGTTGCAATTAATGTGTATTTATATCTTGTATATATATTACATTTATTAATTTCATATGTTTATATATAATTTATATTCATATATATGTGTGTGATATGTGTGTGTGTGTGTGTATTGTAACTATGTTACTCCATGTAGGTGTATATAGTTAGTACATAGATATACACTACTTATTTGGTGTACAAAATTTCTATAATATATATAGTTTAATATGGTTATTTATTATATTATCACAGAATATCCTGAGTAGGAAGGGACCCTCAAGGATCACTGACGTCCAAGTCCTAAATATATGTATATTATATATAGCAATTAACCCAGAACACGATAACCCCCAGCTGTACTTGCCTCCCTCGGAGCCCTGCCCAGCCAGGGCCCGGCTGGCACCGAGCCATCCAAGCCAGCAATCAGTGCCAGCCCTCAGCCCATCCCAGGGATTCCTGTGCCAGTCCCAGCCAGCAATCAGTGCCAGCCCTCAGCCCATCCCAGGGATTCCTGTGCCAGTCCCAGCCAACAATCAGTGCCAGCCCTCAGCCCAACCCAGGGATTCCTGTGCCAGTCCAAGCCAGCAATCAGTGCCAGCCCTCAGCCCATCCCAGGGATTCCTGTGCCAGTCCCAGCCAGCAATCAGTGCCAGCCCTCAGCCCATCCCAGGGATTCCTGTGCCAGTCCATGCCCAGCAATCAGTGCCAGCCCTCAGCCCATCCCAGGGATTCCTGTGCCAGTCCCAGCCAGCAATCAGTGCCAGCCCTCAGCCCATCCCAAGGATTTCTGTGCCCGTCCATGCCCAGCAATCAGTGCCAGCCCTCAGCCCATCCCAGGGATTCCTGTGCCAGTCCCAGCCAGCAATCAGTGCCAGCCCTCAGCCCATCCCAGGCACTCCCGGGGAGGGGCCCAGGGAAAGCAGGGACAGGCTGGGCTGTAGAACCCCAAAGAGCTGGGGATCAGCAGCACTGGCTGGATCCATCCCGGGGGGTTTGGCCAGCAGATCCCCAGTGGCTTTTGAGGGTGCTCAGAAGCAAAGTCCATCTCAGCTGTGACCCTCAGCCCCACACCTGCACAGGCGAGGGGGCAGCCCAAACTCATGCCCCGGCTGGCACAGGAGGGACATTCCTGGCTGGCACAGGAGGGACATTGCTGTGTGCCTCTGCCCCAGCCACAGCTCAGGCCTGGCTGCCCAAAGGGCTGTGGCTCTGTCCCAAGTCTGGGAAAACCTCCAGGGCAGAGGCAGAGCCTTGGCAGAAGGATGTGTGTGCCGGGGATGCAGAGGCTCGCGAGGGGCAGGGCGTGCCAGACAGGGCACAGGTCCCTACATGGGCTCAGAAAAACCTGTGCATGTGGCACCCAGGGACAGGGACAGCTGTGCATTTGGCAGTGCTGGATGGCTGGATTCGATGGCCTTTGAGGGCTTTTCCAACCAAAACCATTGCATGGCTCTCTTTGGCCAGGCCAGAGTTCTGTCCCTCACAAGAAACAGAGAAACAGAGGGAGCCCTGCTGTTCTCTCACACAGACACACATTCCTGCAGGGATTTACACACAAAACAAGCACCAAGGGCAGCCCAGGACTCACTGAGCCCCGCTTAAGAGAGGAAGATCTTCCTCTGTTTGTTTTTTTGGGGGGAGAAAGCTATAAGAGCACCATGAAAACTTCAGACAGGATTGAGTCAAGGGACACTGAACTGAGGATGGCTGCTGAGAGGGAAAAACCCCTCGTCCAAACTTCTCCACAGTCCACTGGGGAAGAGAGAACAGAAGAAATCAGCTTCATTTCACTTTGGTTCCCAGGTCCTTTAAGCACACTAACAGCAGCTCTTGATGAATTAGGCAGAATTTGCTGACAGACATACAAGTGTGTGTGTTTGTCCTTACAGGAACATTAATTAGTGTAACTCAAACATGTTCAAAAGGCTCTTGCAGTAAAGGAATGGCAATTGCCTGGCTCTAGCAGCAGAGGTCACAGGGGGGTGGCTGCTGGCAAGACCAGAGTTCAGAGCAGAGAGACCTCCTGGGTACTCAGAAACCACCCATAAACAGGGAACCCCCCGATTTACTGCAGCTGTGTGCTTATGGGCACAATCCAGGGAAAAGCCCCAGGGAAAAGCCCCAGGGAAAAGCCCCAGCAGGGGCACTGCCCGAGGGCAGGATTGTCTGTCTGCTCTGTGTCCCACGCCCATCTGCAGGCGGTGGGATTACCAGGGAGCAGGAGCCACACATCCTCGGTGACATCCTCGGTGCATAAAGAGCATTCCCAGCAGCAAACTGGATTATGGGCTGGGCAGGGCACAGGGATGGGCTGTCCCAGGCAGATTAACCCCTGGTGCCTTCTCAGCCACCTCACTGACCTGGTTCTTGCCTCCCAGCCCTGCTTCTGCAGGAGGGGATGGACCACCCTGGCACGGCTGTCTGCGCTGAAAACGCTTTCCTACAGCTTCCCTGGGAGCTCCGGGATGTTTCAGCACTCTCCCTCCCCTCCCACCCTGGCCAGGGATGGGCCCCAGGCTCAGCAAGGCTGATGGCCCCCTGAGCACAGCCCAGAGCTGCTGGAGGTGACAAAGGCAGCGGGGACAGCCCCTGGCACCCCAGCAGACACCACTGGCCACAGAGAGGAGTCCAGCAGCCTTAGGAACAGGTTCAGGAACTGTTTTACCTTGCACGGGTGGGGGTCAACCCCGTAGGTCTCCAGAGTCTGGGCTTTCCTGAGGAAATTCAGCTCTGAAGTAGCTGGTGTCTGCCCACTGCAGGAGGGAAAAAACAGGGAAAAAAGAATATTCCACGGCAGACAGGAAGGTGGAAGGCAGCTGCAGGGATCCTGCTAACGATGAGGCACCAGCCACAGCACACTGCCGTGACATTTTTATGGGATCACGGGAGCCAGCCCTGGAGCCTGGCCCACCCTCTCCTGCCAGCTGCAGCGCAGGAGCACGCTGGACTGGCAGCACTGGCAGGGTCAGAAGGCATCTGCCAAATTTAGGGATGGATTCCCTGCCTGCAGCACAAACACCTCACGGGGGGGAAGGAAAGGGGAGTTGGTGGCAGAGGGCAGCAGCCCCTGGCACATGAGGACACGGCTCTGAGGGGTTTTGGGGAGCTAAACCCACTTCCCTCCCTGGGAACCCTTCAGGACTCAGCTCCAGAGGCACCAGCAGTGCTGTGGGACCATGGGGATTGTGATGGCTCTGCAGCTCACGTCCCTGCACAGGGCTGAGGGAGCAGGGCTTTGGGAGGGCCCTGGGCACTGTCCCCATGAGGGGCACTGTCCCCATGAGGGGCACTGTCCCCACCCCCTGGGCCGTGCTGGCTGAGGCAGGAGCAGGTCCCAGCTGGATGTGACACAAGTGACAATCCCAAAGGGGACAGGGTGCTCTGGGTGTCCCCGACCCCGCAGCTCCCCCACCTCAGCTCTGACTTGTGGATCTCGGCGATTTTCCTCTCCAGCTTCTCCGAGTGCTTGGGGAAGAACTGGAACTTGGAGCTGTAGCCCTCTGGGTGCTTCCCCGGGTCGTAGTCCCCGATCTCAGCTGGTGGGAGACAGATCCAGTGGGCAAGAGCAGCAGGAGCAGAGCCCAGCCTGCATCCCCAGCCAGGGCAGCCCCCCGCCCTGCTCCCACCCCACGGGGGGATCCTTTGCCAGGCATTAACTGCATCAACTCACCCTGCTGTCGGTGTGGCAGTCACCTGGCAGCAGATGCTCACCCTCCCAAATTTATTAACTCCTCAGGCTGCAGGAGCAGGCAGGAGGGCAGGGGCTGGGTGAGCCCAGGGGTGCTCCTGGGGACACCGTGCAGGTGTGGCTGCTCTTGGGGACACTGTGCAGATGTGGCTGCTCCTGGGGACACCGGGCAGCTGTGGCTGCTCCTGGGGACACCGGGCAGCTGTGGCTGCTCCTGGGGACACCGGGCAGCTGTGGCTGCTCCTGGGGACACCGGGCAGCTGTGGCTGCTCCTGGGGACACCGGGCAGCTGTGGCTGCTCCTGGGGACACCGGGCAGCTGTGGCTGCTCCTGGGGACACCGGGCAGCTGTGGCTGCTCCTGGGGACACCGGGCAGCTGTGGCTGCTCCTGGGGACACCGGGCAGCTGTGGCTGCTCCTGGGGACACCGGGCAGCTGTGGCTGCTCCTGGGGACACCGGGCAGCTGTGGCTGCTCCTGGGGACACCGTGCAGCTGTGGCCTCGCAGGTGAGAGCCCAGCAGCCATCCTCGCCCTCCCGCAGCCCAGCCCGGCCCAGCCCGGCCCAGCCCAGCCCAGGTGGGCGCTGTGAGCTCTGCCAGTGCAGGATGGCAGGGCTCCTTGGCGGGCAGAGGGGGTCTCTCACCCTGCAGGATGTAGGCAGCCAGCAGCGCGGCGTCCGACGTCTTGCACAGCAGCCGCCCGTGGTACAGATCCCTCTTGATCTGCAGGAAGACCAGGTACCTGGGCCCAGGAGGAGAGCCCTTCATTAGGCACAGTTTAAATTACCCAAAGAGCCCATTCAGTCAGGGAACACCTGCCACCAGGCACTTGCTGTGGCAGCTCCCTCCCAGCAGCCCAAAATGCACTTGCTGGGCTGACCCTGGCCAGGGTCTCATGACCTAGAGCCCACCAGTGCCTGCTGCATTTCCCCTGGATGTTCAGCTTCCCATAAGTGATTTTCTCCTTCCTAAACTTTCTGTGTCCTCCCTCGGTGTATGCACCCACGTCCCTGCTCCGTGCTCGCTGCATCACCCAGCTGCCTCCTGTGCATCCCTGTCTCTGCGCCCAGTTAAAGGACAAACTATGCTGGAAAAATTACACATTCCAATAAATTTAAACCTAAGTAACATTTTGGGCTGCGTCATGTGGCGTTTGGGAAAACCTTCAGCTGGTAAAACATAAGTCATGAGCGAAGGAGCAAAATGGAGCGCTCAGAAATGAATTTAAAGAACCAGATTTGCACTCTGCAGTCCTCGGTCACGCCTCATTGCTCAAATCTGAGTTTATCATGAGGTAAGCCATTAATTCTCACAGATAAAACACATTAAAGAGAAATCTTGGTATTAGAGTGAACTCGGTCCAGGGAAAAGTGAATTTTAAGCCCAGTTCCAGCTGCAGCTGCAGGCACACCTCAAAGGGCAGCAAGCAGGGGCAGCTCACCTGCATGGGGGCCTCAGCCTGGACCTGTGGGGGTGACAGAAGGCAGAGTTAGATCAGGTTTTGGGAGGAAGTTCTTCTGTGTATTGCACCCCCTGCCATGGGCAGGGGCACACTAGCAGGGGCACACTGGACCAGGCTGCCTCAGCACCCTGGCAGAGAAGAATTTCTCCCCCATATCCCAGCTCAGCCTGCCCCTGGCACTGGGAAGCCATTCCCCCTGGGCTGGCACTGCAGGCTCTGGTCAGAGCCCGTGGCAGGGACCCCTTTGGCCTGGGGGGCTCTCAGGTGTCCCCACAGAAGGTGCCAGCTCAGAGCCCGTTGTGCAGGCTCCAGCCCAGGCAGAGCAGCCCGCGGCTGCTGGGGATGCACAGCTCCCTCTCCAAGGCTGCTGTGCAGGCTCCACGGGGCCCTGGTGTCCTTCCTGCTGGCAGGAAGAGCAGCACGAGGAGCCCCTAAAGATAGCAGCTCAGGAGAGGCTGTGCTGCCAGCTCTGCGTGCAGCGCCTCGCCAGCGCTCCTGACGTCAGCGGGACACGGCTGCCTGCCCGAGGGACTGCAGGGCTGGGACACCCACACCTGGCAGGGCTGGGACACCCACACCTGGCAGGGACTGCAGGGCTGGGACACACACACCTGGCAGGGACTGCAGGGCTGGGACACCCACACCTGGCAGGGACTGCAGGGCTGGGACACACATACCTGGCAGGGCTGGGACACACACACCTGGCAGCCCCAGCACGGTGGGGACACCCCGAGCTGGGGACGTGCTTGGGCAGGGCACCAGTGCCTGCTCCTGGAGCCTGAGCAGCAGTGGCTGTGTCACAGAGCTGGGGCTGTGCTCGGAGTGCTCTGCCCTGGAATGGGGGTCTGGAACTGGCTGCAGCCAGAGACCAAGCCAGGGGCTTTAATCACAGAGCCCAGGGATGGCTCAGGCAGGAAGGGACCTTAAATCCCATCCAGTGCCACCCCTGCCATGGCAGGGACACCTCCCACTGCCCCAGGTGCTCCAGCCCCAGTGTCCAGCCTGGCCTTGGGCACTGCCAGGGATCCAGGGGCTGCTCTGGGCACCTGTGCCAGGCCTGCCCACCCTCAGTCTGTGCTCCCCACCCGGCACAGCAGCTCCTGCTGACCCAGCACAGCTGGAGACTCCTGAGCTTTCCCCCCAGCAGGAACACTCCCAAAGCATCCAGTCTGGCTGGGAAATCCCAGTGGCTCCTTCCTGACTACAAAGCAGGTTCTCCCATGTGCTCCTGCCCCGGCCAAGCCCGCTGCTGGGGCTGCCAGCCCCCAGGCCCATCCTCACCTGGTGATCTCCTCCTTCAGTGCCGCGGGGTCCGTGGGGTAGAACTTGACTCGGAAGCACATGGTGAAGGGGGGCTGGGCTGCAGGCAGCAGGGACACTGTGTCACCAGAGGGCAGGGCTGTCCCCTTCACCCCCACACCACCCAGGGCACACTCGGGGGCTCCCCTCATTGTCCCCCCAGACTGCCCCAGCTAAGGAGGGGCTGCACTCCTCCCTGCAGGGGCCATGGCTAGAGCAGGCATCCCTGACAGAGCTGAGGGAAGTGCCAGTGGCTCTGGCCACCCAGCAGCCAACCCACTGCCCGCTCCCAAATGTCACTGCTCACCCCTTCACTGCTGTCCTGCTCTCCCTGGAGGCTGCTGCCCTGTGCTGGCCGTGGATGCCCCTGGCTGAGGATAACCCTGCTCTCAGCCCACCCAACAGCTTCTGGGGGAGCTGCTCCTGGCAGAGGGGCTGGACTGACCCCCGAGGGGCCAGGCTGGAGAAAATGGGAATATATCTCAGATGGAAGGAGCAGAGTCTGCCCAGACCGCCTGCAACACTCACCCCGCATCTGCTTCACAACCGACTTGGTAAACTCCAGCCAATGCTGAAAGGAAAAGAAGGCAATTAAAGCCTGGCAGCCGTGACTGGATGAGGTGGGGAGGATGAGGAAGAGGAGTCCTGCTCTGGGTGGGAAAAGCCACCTGAGTGTGGTGAGTGGCCCTGGAAGGGAGCAGGAGGCTCAGAAGGTCCCATCCGCAGGGAGGGAGCAGCTCCGTGCCCAGCTCCTGGCTCAGCCTCGGCTGCTCCCTGTGCCAGCAGAGGCAGAGGAGCCCCGGGAGCAGGAATTGGCTGTTCTGTGGCTTTCACTGATCGGTGGGAGCACAGCACGAGGCTGTTACCGACGGCTGTGCCTGCACAGCGCTTCCCATGCACAGCCTCGGGGCTCTGCGGGCGAGGAGGGACTGAAGGGGCCCCGGGGCTCGTTCTGCACCAGCCCTGCTTGAGCGCAGGACACTCGCACAGCCCTGCCGAGGGGATCCAGCACCGTGGGGCTGTGCCCCATCCTCTGCCCGGGCCGGCAGGACACGGATCCGTGCCGGCTCCTGCCTGGCTCTGCCTCCTGCTCTCACTCTCCATCGCCCGAGGCAGCGCTCCGGCGTTGGATCCTCGGCACGGAGCCGTCAGACACCGATCCCGGTGTTCAAACGTGAATCCGTGCTAGAGATGCTCCTGCCCACCCGCTGCCAGGGGACTGGCTCCTCGCTTCACGGCAGCCCCGCGTTCTCTGGCCCTGCAGGCTCCGGGTGCCTCAGCCCCCCGCGGGGTCCGGGAGCGCTCCGGGGACACATCCCGGCCCCGAGGGGCTCTCGGGGAGCCGGCACAGCGGGGCTGCTCCGGGCACATCCCTGAGCCCGCCCTGCCGGGTCCCCTGGGGGCTCAGAGTGAGTAGATCCCTATGCCCTGGGGGCTCAGGGGCTGTGGGTAGATCCCTGTGCCCTGGGGGTTCAGGGGCTGTCAGTAGATCCCTGTGTCCTGGGGGCTCAGAGTGAGTAGATCCCTATGCCCTGGGGGCTCAGGGGCTGTGGGTAGATCCCTATGCCCTGGGGGTTCAGGGGCTGTGGGTAGATCCCTGTGCCCTGGGCAAGGGAACAGCCCCACCGGCACAGCCAGAGCCCATGCAGGGCAGGGCAGGGCAGGGCAGGGCAGCTGGGGAGGAGCCCCTCAGCACTGCCTACTCCTGATTTTGTTCCAGCTCTCTCTCGGGTTTCCAGCTGCCAGGACAGGCCTGAGCCGCCCCCCCAGCCCGGGCAGGGGGTCTCTCTCACCCTCTGCTTGTCGGGGTCCACAAAGCGGATGCCGAAGTAATCCTTCTCCAGCAGGTTCAGGTGGTGGCACAGGAGGTCGAACAGGTACTGGCCCTTGGCATCTCTCTGCGGGACAAAGAGAGTCAGTGACAGCACGGGGGGCGGTGGGGCAGAGCCCGGGGGGTGTGTGAGGGGTCTGCACCAAGGACAGCGCCACCCGCACACAGCTCCTGTGTGGCACTTCGGGCTCCGGAACCTTCTCCCATCCCAGCCGAGGCGGTTGTGCCCACAAGAAGGGATGACAAGCCCCAGGCCCAGGCGGGAATGTCGCGATACCTCCCGGGGAGGAGGTTCACACCGGAGCCGGCTGTGTAGGGGAGATCACGGCCCTGACAGAAAGGATTATCCCCCTGCAGGGTCTGCTTCGTACCGGCCTCTCCTCACCCGGCTCCGCACCCGGCTAAACACGGGTGGGCTTGTGTGCCCAGCCCCCGGGCTGCTCCTGCTCCGAGATTTGGCCACCGCACCCCCAAAACCCTCCTGCCCTTCGGCTGGGGGCTGCAGCCCCCCGCTGCTCTGCCGGTGGCCCGTGGTTTGAGCCGTTAACCCCTGCCATGCCGGTGATTGAGCCGCCGGCAGCCCCGGCGTGCGGAGCCGCCGCGCATCTCCGCGGATCAAAGGCTGCTCCTGACAGCCCTGCCTGCTGCCTTCCCACAAACACGGCAGGCACATCGCTTCCCGACACGAACACGGAACGCGCCTTATCGGATCAAATGAGCGCGTTATCGGATCTAATGAGCGCGTTATCGGATCACACAGCCGCTCAGCAGCCGCGGACCGCGGCGGGGGAAGCCCACGGGACGCAGGATCCCGTGCCTGGGGCTCGCTGCCGCACCAGGAATGTGTTTGTGCTGTGAATAAAGAGGGTTTCACACATGGCAGCTGTGCCCCGCGGCCCGGGCCGGGGGTGAGCAGCCCCAGCTCCAGCCCGGCCCCGCCGGAGGCAGTCACGGACACCGAGGGTGGAAAAGCCCCCCGAGACCACCGAGCGCAACCAGCCCCGGCACCGCCGAGGACAGCTCTAACCCATGCCCCAAGTGCCACATCCACAGGCTTTAAACCCCGCAGGGATGGGGGCTCCAGCCCTGCCCTGGGCAGCTGGAGAGCCCTTGGCACCACCGAGTTTTCCCGGCGTCCTGCCCGAGGCTGCTCCCTCTCCTCCTGTCCCTGTTCCCTGGGGGCACAGCCCGACCCTCTGGGGGTCCCTCCTGCTGTCAGGGAGCTGGAGACACCGAGAAGGGCCCCCCCGAGCTCCTCTCCAGCCCTTGCCGGCTCCGTGGCTCCTCTCTGGGCTCGGTGCAGCAGCTGCGAGCCCTGGAGCAGCCCCGGCGCTCTGGAGCTGCTGCTGCAGCCCAGCCGAGCAGCTGGCCCGGCCCTGCAGAGACCCACGGAGCTCAGACTCCTGAATCATCCCCGCTAGAGCCCAAGGAAGGACAGCCAGAGCCACCCGGAGCTGCTGCTGCGGGAGGGGAGGGCTGATTCCTCATCCCCAGCATCCCATCCCTCCCCTGAGCAAATCTCAGGGATGGGCTCGAGGCTCCTCTGCCTTCCTTCTCCTGCCCCAAACCAGCACGGAGCCTGCAGAACACTTCCCTCTGCGATCTTCACAGGGGAATTGCAGGGAAGGACACAGCAGGCACCCCCCAGTGCCCGGAATCCGGTGAAAGTGTGAAACCACGGATGGCATTACAGGGAAAATGCTCCCTCTTTGATCTCTCTAACTTGAATTAAACATATTCTAAATTAATCATTAGCAGAATGTCTTTCAGGAAATTATCTGAACTGCCTTTACAAATCACGACTTAAAAGAGCTCCCATTGCATAACACCGGCTTAAATATTCCATGTTTGCATCTTGACATGTTCGTATAAAATGGGACTCCTGTCTGTCTGTCTGTCTGCAGGCTTTTGAGGTCAGCCTTCCGGGGTGCCCAGGCTGACGGGGAGACCACGGGCAGCTGCTGGCACACGCTGGGATGCCACGTGCCAGGCTGGCACCGAGGGCTTGCCCCGAATGCCAACACCGGCCAAGCACCTTCACAATGTGGAGGTGCCTCCAAGGGAGCCAGGGAGAGACCCTTCATCATGAACTCCAGTGACAGACACAGGGAAAGGCTGCCACTGCCAGAGACAGGGCTGGATGGGGTATTGGCAATGAGGAATTGCTCCCTGGCAGGGTGGGCAGGCCCTGGCACAGGTGCCCAGAGCAGCCCCTGGATCCCTGGCAGTGCCCAAGGGCAGGCTGGGCAGGGCTGGGAGCAGCTGGGACAGTGGCAGTGTCCCTGCCATGGCAGGGGTGGGATGGTGCTCACACCTGGGGAAGGTGTGGAAGCTCAGGATGCACCTGCAGGATTTGGCACAGCTCCTGCAGGACGGGCTGTGAAGCAGAGCCAGGCTCTGGGGCCATGGGCCCTGGCACACACAGCGGCCCAGGGGACTGCCCAACTTCAAGAAGATTAAAGTAACCTTGCATTCTTTGCCTTTCTGAGCGTGGGCCCTGGCACACACAGCAGCCCAGGGGACTGCCCAACTCCAAGATTAAAGTAACCTTGCATTCTTTGCCTTTCTGAGCTTCTCAGCCAAAATTAGGGTCACCCACAGATAGAAAAATAAAAAAAAATTAAAAAAGAGAGAGAGATTGAAAAATAGCAGCTCATCTGCAAATGACCAGAGGGCTGAGCTGAGGCAGGAGCCTTCAGTCCCACCCCAGTGACAGCACTGCACTGGGGATGAGCCCTGTCCCAAAGTCCTGGCTGCAGGGATGGGAGGACAGCCACGTTCCAGAGCATTCACCCCATGCCATGGCAGGGCTGCCTCTCCCCAGCTCTCAGGCAGCTGTGGCACAGCACAGCCCCACAGCTGGGGAAGCGTGTTTGCTTCCCAGCCTGTGCCCAGCCCTGCTGCCACCCTCACCTGCCACCTCCACAGCCCTGCAGCATCCCCCGCCAGACCCCAGCCCACCTCAGCATTTCCATTCCTGGGGCTCAATGCCACGTTCCCCCCCAGCTGCTCCTGGGATTAATCCCAGGATTTACAGAAGCAGCAGAAGCAGCTGAAAGTGGCTCCTTCCTGAGTTATTTGGGTTGGAAATCTCCTTGTGGGCTGCCCACTCGTCCCTGCTTCCTGAGCTTAGGAGGAGATTATTTTTTTAAAGGAAACCGTCAGAAAAAGTCTATTTTACAAAGTGAAGTTTTAGCTTAAGTCTCTTTGGCAGCAACATCTGAGCTGGGAGAGATCAAAGACCCTCCAGCTCCACTGCCAACATGAAGAGATTTTCACCAGCAATTTGACTGCAATATTGTGGTTTAAATGCTTCATTTTCCAAGTTCAGCGCCGTGCTGTACGAGCCCCGGATTTATCACCCCTCAGACTAAGTTAATGTTGGCTCTGCAGGCTGGGCCAAGTCCTGACTGACAGCTCTCAGCCCCCACCGTGAGCCAGAGCCTCTGCTAAGCCCTGGAATGAGGAGGAAATGGGCAAAAACAGGCTGAGAATATTCCTTTCCAGGCAGGGAATAAGCAGCCCCGAAATCCAGAGCAGCTGGAGCAGAGCACTCCAAGGGATCCCTGCCTGCACTGACCCCCCTCCCAGGGCCCCAGGAGGGGCTGGGGGCTCCCCCAGGCAGGGGAGGGGTTCCCAAGGGGCAGGGCAGGGCTGGGGCAGTGCCTGCACCTCCTGGGGAGGGGGGCAGCAGGGACACTGGCACGGAGGGGAGTGGGTGGGAAGGGGCCTCAGAGACCACCCATGGCAGGGACACTGCCACTGTCCCAGGTGCTCCCAGCCCTGTCCAACCTGGCCTGGGCACTGCCAGGGATCTGCCACAGGGATCTGGGCACCTGTGCCAGGGCCTGCCCACCCTGCCAGGAACAATTCCCTCCCAAAATCCCATCGAACACTGCCAGTTTGAAGCCATTCGCCCTTGTCCTGTTAAGATAACAAGAAGAGGTGCCCTAGGAGCCACAGGTGAAGCCAGAATCTCAGGGGATTGCCCACCTGCCCAGCAGAGCCCTGCCCACCCGAGGAGACTCGGGGAAGGAAAAGGGCTTTTACATAACTGCACTGTAATCCTGTTATATTTATAGCATATGCATTTCAGTATTAATTCCCTGTTATCTCTAATCCTTCCTCCTCGCTGACACAGTAATTTCTGTCTTCAAGACTTATCTGGGCAGTTTGATCCAGAAGTTTATAGAGCTCTTGAGGAGGAAAGTTCCTAATGAAGGGCCCCACGGAGCCTTCAGCTCCAGATTATCGGTGCTGCTCTTAATCCCCTGCAGGTCTGCAACCCTTTGACACGCTGGCGTATGCAGAAGGTTCCTCACGGCTCTCCATCAGGGAATTTCAGCCACTCATGTCCTCATTCAGGCAAGTCTGCAGTGGGACAGCAGTCGAGCACATTTTTAAACCCGTCAATAATCAGGAACTTGTGCCAGGAGCCCTTCCCAGCACCCGGGCAGGGCTTATCTCCAGCTTTCCTGACAGCTTCCAAGGGCTTTGCAAAACGTGCTCTGTGCTTTCCCCTGAGCTTGCCCAGCCCTGCAGCTGTCCAGGCACAGCCCCGGGGCTCTGGAGCTCCGAGCAGGGCAGGGAGGGCAGAGCCATCCACCCTCCCCACCCCAGCTGCCCGAGGGCTCGGGGTCCCCGCAGGCTGCCGGAGGTGCTGCCAGCTGGCACGGATGCTGCAGGGTGGGCCCTGCCCTGCACAGTGCCCGGGGCTGGGCTCTGCCCGGCTCACCTGTGCAGGTGCTCCCCGTGCAGTGTTATCCAGTGCTCCCCGGGGTCACTGGGAGGAGAGCCTTGTGCTGGTGCAGGGCTCATCCCCCGGCGCTGCCCGTGTCTCTCCTGCTGCTCAGGGTGTGCCAGATTTACTGGGAAGTTTCTGCTCTCTGGCCCTCGCTTAGTGTGGATCATTTACCCCTGAAAAGGGCTGGCCAGCCTCCCTGGAAACCCCTCCTGTGGGTAGGAGCCCCCTTGCAGCCCAGAGCTCTCTGCTATAAAAAGCCGAGTCCTGTTGTTAATGTAGGAGCTCCTTTGCAGCCCAGAGCTGTCTCTGCTATAAAAAGCCAG